GAGCCCTGTAAAATACAGTTGTTTATATGCTCGACAGCAGGGCTGTGCCCTCCCTGACAGAACAAAAATGAAAGCAATATCAATGAAATATGACACTGATGATAGATCGGGAGAGGAGATGGAAATGACTTGATTCTCCCGAGTTTTCTGAATGAGATACGGCCTGCGAGGATGTGTTCAAGCTGAACTCTGAGATGGCTTGCACTTGTCAGGTTTCTCAAACAATCAGGGCATCAGCTCCGCTGGGAGTTGTTTGAAATGAGCAGAAAACTCAGCAGGTTTGTATGAAGCTCACGGCGGAAGTGTGGTACTGTTAATAAACCGCCTCTAAAGGCTACAACTAGACCCGAAAACCACTTACTCCAACTACATAAAACGCTGCCGACTGTTCCAACCAGGTAAATTTGACATTATATCTGAAAGCTGACTCCTACATGACCTGTATGCGTATCTGTGTTTGAGAATGCATGTGTCCCTATGTCCTTGGGCAACCGTCCCTCGCTGTAAGCGGGAATAGACTGTGTCCACTGGCTGTATAGACAGAGTTCTCAATGCCCTTGATGCAGAACAGAGGACAATAGGATCAGTCTGAACAATGCAGGCCCTCTTAACAACACTGATCCACTAGGCCCAGAACCACGACCCGTCTCTACTATCATCACACCACACACAGAAAGCCACCACAGCTTCAAAACAGAGGAAAAACACCTGATTTTTTCTTAATCTCTCCTTAAAAAGCCACACACTTTGATTCATGTCTATAGCACAAACAATGTGGAACGAGTTACACGTTAAAGGTTAATACTTAGTTCTATTCGAACAAACCTCTAACATTAATTATAAGCTATAAAAAGTGTGAAGTGTTCACAAACACAAAAGGATCTGAAAGTTCCATAAAGCTCTGACAATTACGCTCTGTAAGCCACTGTAAAGAGCTGCTACAGTCAGTGAGCATTTTGGGGCTCAATCCTCCATTCTGCCTGCAGCACAGGGCCTTTTGACCCAGGTGAGAACTTGAGTGTCAATACCATTCTAGAGTCTGTTATTATTTTATCGGCAGCGGTCGACTGGGGACATAATTCCAGTGCATTGGTCATGCACTCACACTGGACCTAAGTGGCCAACCATTTCTGCAGCAGCTACACTTCTAATTTTTCTCTGCTGGAAACCCAAGTGTTTACATGAAATTTACAGTTATTTATTTCCTCCTGTGCAACCAGAGAGGCGCCAAAAATAAGGAGAGACCGTGCAAAAAGGAATCAAAAAAGAGAAAAAGTAGTCTAGAAGGGGATGAAGTTCATTTTAGATTAAAACGAGACAAGTATGAGATTCAAAACATGTCTTTGTAGCTCACTCATTTTTAGCCAGCGCTCAGCAAGCGATAAACGTGCTTCCCAGAGGTACTGCTGCCAAGGGTCTATCATTCATTAGGCTGCTGCCACCATCATCACATGCATTCCAGACACTTAATCACTAGGATAGAGATAAAATAAAAAGCTTGAAGGTCACCAGGGGGAGAGAGCGATAGAGGGGAGATAGCATAGAGGGGTGAAGATGTATGGCCTCTTTTTGATTGAGGACGTGGCGCTTTCAGTCACACGTGACAGAACACTCGATGAGGAGATGCGTTTTGACTGGAGACCTTTATCACAGACTCCAACGGTTTGCTGAGCTACACATCACAAGGAAACGGGCCTGGAGAATTCAGCTGCAAATCGCAAGCGAAAACATTTAATAGGACTATCTGAATTTATCCTCTTCCGTATTCACTTTACGCTCTAGAAGACGAGCGACAGTAGAGCGTTGAGTGAAACTCTGAATCTGAACCATCATGCATATTTCCCATTCTTTCCCATCAGCTGTTTTTTTGCCTGTCTACTCCTCTGATGTTTTGACATATTTCTCTGCCTCGTCAAGCGCTCGTCTCCGATTTGCCATGCTGTTTAATGTTCATGAGGGGCGGAGCAAAACTCGGGCAGTTGACAACCCACTGGCTGTTGTTACAAGATCTCAGACAGACAAAGAAGATGAGGTGCACCGCTGAGGAGGCCCACACTCCACTGCCTCAAAATAAAAAGTGCCTTGACCTCCTCGGCAGCCAGCTTCACCTCTCAACTGTGACGGACGGACGACGCTCTAGTCTCGTCCCACGGCCCAGTGTGCTTAAATAATGCCGGCTCTCTGCACGCCAACAGCCAACAGCCACCCACCAAACTGGGAAACTTCTGATGCTTAATCTCCTGAAATGCAAATGTGCAAAATGAGAGATGGGGTCTCGAAGGAGAGCCTGCCATGCTGTGAGTGTAAATGGACACGGTTAAACCCTCCTCTAAGACCGGCTCAGAACGCACCGACAACCAAATCAGAACTATATTAGTCACTTTCCGGGCAGGAATTTGTATGACATTTGAATTTGAAAGGGTGTATGGTGGGGCATACAGTTTTGCTCGAGGATATTGGATCTTACAAGAGGCTTTGTTCGCATGCCGTGATGACAACAGCGGCGCACACCAACTGAGGCGAAATTGTCAAGGCAACATATATTGAATTTCACAAAAGTTGAGAGCAAAGCGATTTCCCTCCCCTCTCCAAACCTCCCGCCGAAGACGAAACAAGCGATCCAGGACACATCCTCTTACTTTAAAGAAAACAAGCGGCTGACACATTTCCTGCCAACAGGCCCTTTCCTCAGATAACACAAGACTCCCGTCAACAGGAAGCCCTTTCACTGGCGGCTCTGCCTCCCTTCAGCACGTCACACTAAACAGCTCCTCAACCCCAGCCCCCACAGCCTCCCCTCCAACTGTTGAGGAAAACTTGCAGAAGAGGCTTGCTAAAACCAGAAGAAATCAGAAAACAGTTTGAAAGGAACCAGACTTAAAAGTGTGGGCTGTAGCCTCAAGTCCTTCAAATGCTCTTGGTCCGAGAGGCAGCATTTTAACAGCCTCAACAATACTCCTGAAATCAATTAACATGCAGCCGGTATTATCAACATTACACACAGCCTGCCATTACATCAGATCCCACAAATAGCTCTGGCCAGACGGACGGACAATGTTACAGTCTGTGCAAACCAGAGGAAAGGGTGCACTGCACACAAAAGCACAAACATGCCCTCTAGGCACGGGTCAATGCTTTAGATTTGTTAAAAGCCTCCAGTTCTCATGCGCTCACCAGAAGTTTACACGAGTGAGTGCACGAGCGCGGTAACGACGTATAAAGGATTTGAGGAAAGTTTGTAAAAAGCAAAGCAGAACTCACGTTAAGTGCAGAGTGCACTTGAAGAGCAGTGAGAGAAAACCTGAGGCAACCTTCATAAGGCAGGGGCTGTACTGTTTGAGCAGATGCTAATAGGAGAACTGGCAAGTGAGAGAGAGAGAGAGAGAGAGAGAGAGAGAGAGAGAGGGAGAGAGAGAGAGAGCAGACGCCTTCTGCAGGCTGCTGTGATGACATGCAGGCTTTTTTTCCTTTTTTTTAGTAAGGGGGCTTATCTTTGTCTCTATGGTAACTGTGTCTCTGGGTGGTTATTAGAAACCCTGAACTTCCTGTGCATCTACAGGATCAGCCAATCACACGCCGTGTTTTCATAGGCGGAGATTGCTCGTGCTATAGGCAGTGAAGAGCGGCCACATGAGGGGGCCATGGAAACAGAGGGTCAGGGAAAACTTACAGCACGGCACGACATGCCAGTTTGCATAAAACAGCCCGAAACGGTCTTCATTTCACTCTACGTATTTATAGAAACATCTAGTGACTAGACTGAAGTAGGTTATAAATCCTAGAGCTCATTTTTTCCAGCAAAACCTCCATGCCACAAGCTTTTTCCAAATAGGACATTGCCATCAAGGTATTTCAGTATTTTTAGGACGAAAATGGAAACTCTTGTGGAAAACACAAGATCAGCATCTCAGATTCCCAGAAAGAACTTTCTATAGCACTGTGGTAAAGAGACTTGCAGACAGACAACCACAGAAAGCTCAGAGCTCAGCAGAATGGCCAGAGTTATCAGAGTCCAGCTCTAATGACAATAAATCCACAGGATGTGCTGTGTACCAACACATTCATGCGGCTCGTTTTAACAGCAGCCTGTGGATGAGCAGAACTTAATGCTCATGAATGCAAATGAACAGACACTCTGTAGGATTACTGTTGCAAAGCAAACAGCTGACATGGAGCATGCATCTAGGACAGGACTTTCAGCTGTTGTGTCCAAGCGTGCAGAGAAAAGACAGCTGAACTGGAGAATTACAATGAGAAAGCTTCGTTTTCCCAGCTCAGCAAGGGAATAAAACAGAAACTAGAAATGAACCAAAAGTAAAAATGTAATATATGCCTATTTATCCCTGCAGACAGGAATGGGAACACTTTTTGTGTGTTTATAGGAAGATCACACCACACACACACACAAGCGCTCATTGCATAGTTTCCCAGTAGTCTCTCTGTCTCCTTGGTTTAAGCGGGTGGAATCGTTTGGAGCGATGTGGCTCACTTCTTCCCTGCGCTGACTTGTTTTCCACCCAGCGAGCACATTCAAACTTCACTCTGTGGCTGGTTTATTTAACACTGCATTTGTTGACAAGTCTCGGAGCAAAGTTCCTTGTGTGGAACCCTGGGTGCTGAACTCCAGAACATCAAATGCAAACAATAACAACCAGAACAGCGTGCCCAACCCCCTGAGGGTGAGATGTTACTTCATCGGCACCAAGAAAAACATCAACCGGTCTACTAGGACAGTGAGGGATGGTCTAGACCTCTTCCAGCACTGTTTACAGCTGCAATGACTTCCATTCCTCAGTGACAGGAGCGTGCCATTTCCTGTCTCTGCTGTCCCAATATTTCATCCGGCGTAAGTAGCACATGTCCCACACGTAACTAGACTCACCAGCCAGGGGCCCCCAGTGGCATCTATATGCTCGCGAACGCTCTTGCACGCCGGCTGACTCCTGACAAAACAGAAAGCCCTGATAGATTACAGCAAGAGTGATCAATCACACACAAACCTTTTAATCCAGATCGTCCCCTGATTGGCTGCCTCCGCATGAGCTCCAGATTTTTAAATCCGACTGGTTAATCCCTCCATTTCTCTCGGATTCAGTATTTTAGCAGTGACCACAGTGGGCTTTAACATTCACTTGGCTTTTTTCTCTCCCTCCCTCTTTCTCTCTCTCTCTCTCTTTGCACTCTGTTCTGAGACCGCTTGCTGAGCTCTGGAACTAAGGGAGCCTGATGAGGAGAGAAGAAACTCGCTGGGTCCTAGTGTCTCTGGAGTTAACTGAAAGAATGCCATTGTTTCATGTGTAACCCAGGGCTACACTCTACAGACGGCTGATAAGTCCTGCGCTGTGCCAGATCCACTGGGGTATTTGTAGATGGATAAAGATGGAGAGCTGTTCGATATCCATTACCTGGATAAACAATATAATAATTGTGAGATCATTTACAAACTGATCTAAATAAAAAAATAAAAAAAAGAATAAAAAACATTTTACACTGCAAAAAAAAAAAAAAAAAAAAAAAACCAGCAACAAAAGAAGAAAAAAAACTTGAAAAATATTGTAAGGTAAATGTATCTTGTAGGTTTTTTTTTTTTTTTTTTTGCAAAAGGGCATAAGATATCAAATCTTGCTTTTAGAGAATTCTAGCAAAACTGAATGAGGTTTTCATAATAAAACCTAAAACAAAATAGTGTTCCATCCAAATTTTTTTTTTTCTTACTCCAGTGTCAATTAGATTTCTCTAAAAATTTATTAAAAATGTATCATTTTGTTTTGTTTTTGTTTTTAAAGTAAATGTTTCTTGTTGTAAGTAACATGAGTTGTTTTTACTGTAAATGATACTGATATAAGATTTTTTTTATCCACAGGTGATAGAAACTCTGATATAAGACTGATATAAGACAGTACAAATCTACTGACAGGTAAGGATAAGAGCAGCTTGGATATTCTGCCTAACATCTGTTACAGAGATTAAAAATAATAATAATAATAATAATAATAATACAACATAAGAATGAGCAGATGAGCATATTTGTTTGCACTACTCCTTTAAAAGAGTTCATATCTGACTATGTACTTTTTCTTCTCAAATTCAGATAAATGGCTCAAGTAAGACTAAAATTTGTCATTGCAAAATTCCTCCATGACATCAGCAGCGTCGAAGCACACAAATCATTATCATTAAAAAATGTCTTACAAAAGGTCAAAAAACCCTACTTTTCATCTCCCTCTCTATCCTTAGAAAACAGATTGAAAACCACCACTAAAAGCCTAATTTTAGTTCTGTCCTTCAAGAACATACTGATATTTAAACCCCAAAATCCTTTGCTACCACTCTGAAGTGCTTGCTATTGAAAATGTGGCAGCAATGCTAAAACTATTATGTGCACGGACGCTACAGCCAAGGCTATAAATATAAGCAACACATGGAGCGGCAGACTGCAAAACAGGGGGAAATTTGGGCTGCTTATATCTGTCAAGAGCTGCACGAATCAGGCCGCCGGCCATATGATCCGCCTGGCGGCTGAGTCCACCTCCTCAGCAGGGAGCTTTGTAACTCCGCTTCTCGTTTCTTTTTCAAAAAACAGATTGAGAGAGAGGGGGGAATTTTTGTAAAATACCCTGGATGCTTATGTCAAAAATTCCTCATGAGGATCATAAAGTGTCTCAATTGAAACTTGGCCCTTATCTAAACAACAGCTGACTAATGTGCTCACAATGTAAACTCAGTGGCTTACCGGAAATTTTGGGGGCCCCCCGTGAACCATGAGATGAGGCCAAGTGGATACATCATGTACTAGCATTTCTTCTTGGGGGTGAAACAGCATCTGATAGAGACAGACAGTCATGTTATTTTGGCCATTTTTTCTTCTCTCATATCCTTATTTATTTATCTATTTATATGTGGAAATATCGTTCTAGATTTTATTTCAGCAAGTAGAGTATGCAAATTCTAACCACTTAGTAAACAAGTGTCACAAGTGATCATGCAATTCTAAAATAAAGCACGTTTCAAAAAATGAGTGTGCATTTGGTCCACTGTGCTCACAAATCAATATAACAATTAAAAGCATGATACGTTGTTTTCCACGATTGTGATTTCTTTGTAAACAACACGTCAAATTTGCACAGCATTAAAAAGGCAAGCAACACAATATATTACATGCTTTCATGCAACCTGTACGCAGAGTAAAATTGCTCTATATCTGTAGTTTAACCCTAATATAATTGGCTCATAATGGCTTGAGGGTCCAATGTCTGACAGTGTGTATACGGCTGAATTGTGAGCACATCTTTACTATAACAAAAACTATGTGTAAAGGGGGAAAAAATGCCTGTGTCCTTGGCTGATGTGTAAAAAATATAGAGTTATTGGCTTTTATTTTATGTGAATGAAGCCAGACTTGTGAGCATGAGAGCTTTGCGAAACAGTACATTTTCAGATCAAGCAGTTAATCATCTTCAATAATGTTTCAGTAACAGAAACCGACTGAGCTGCCAAATGCTCTGGCCTCTGAACGTCTGGCAAAAAGATCCAGCTTTTGCAGCAGCTGTAGGATGGAATTCTGTTTGTGTTCCCCAGTACTAATGTTCAAGTCCCACTAAACATATACAAATAGTAGCGCAACTCAGTATAAAGCAAAATCTTTATCAGGTTGCAAAACTGAAATGTAGCAAAAAGTGATTCACATCATTTTTTTATATAGTATTATATAATCATGATTGCAAAAATGACTCTCATGATGCCACAATAAATTAAAAACCTTGTCATGAGAGCAAATGTACACTAGCATTTCACTTTATTAAACAAATGTATACAGTATGATTGGATGAACAACGATATAACACACCTGTGATTGCACATCAATTGAATTCTATATTAATGTGCACTCACACTCATCTACGATCATCATGTTGCTTGGCAACCATAAACAGCCAGCAGTTGAGCTAATGAACTATATTACTTAGCAGGAGAATTGTTTATGATCATTAACAAATATAATTATTTATTGAACATAAATGTCTGCTAGCATATTGATGTTGCCATTTAATAAAAACAATAAGACACTTGAGGATGTTGCAATGTTTTTCCACATCACACTTCCCATCACCTTATGTTGAAATCACTGAAAAATATTTGCAAGTGGCTTAATGCTTAAATGTAAGATGTAAGTGGGGGAAAAAATTATAATGTCAATGACACTGATGATGTAAAAATGAATTAGCGTTAGAGGTGTGCGATATTGACAAAAAATAATATCTAGATATTTTCTTGGATTTTATCGATAACGATAATTAGATGATATTTTGCTGAGTGTGTTATTGTGCTGGTATCTTAAGGACTACCATGGACAGCTGACTCCTAAAGGTTTTTATATTCTTCATATTCTGTGTGGTGGTCAGTTCACTCTGATAGAAATTAATCTTTTCCAATAAGAACATCTTGTTTTTTGAACTGTTGTAAAAATAGTACGTTTGTAATCATTTGTAGAAAAAACGGCACTCTTTGTGCGATATTGATTAACTATATGAGATCATATAAATATATACATTTTCTGTCCCCATATCTTGAATTTTGTGATCATTCTAAATGTATTTTAATTGAATCATGCGGTGACAGAACGCACTCTGTAAGTGCGCACGCGCACTAGTCTAGACTTCACGTAATGTGTGCGTGCACTCTGTAGGGGTGTTTTGAATGGTTTTGCAAAATACTCGATAATGTAAAATTGTACATCGTTAAAACAACAATTACGATATTATCGCAGACGATATATATCGCACACCCCTAATTAGCGTCCATTCCTTTTCTATATCACAATCTTTTTCTCTGTACTCATTAAAATGATTTACATACAGCAGTCATAAGAATAACACAATTAATGTTTCTCTCAGTTAATTACTCCACCTTCCTCTGTCACATCTTCAAACGCATTAAAAAAAGAAAAAGAAAAAAAGAAACAAAGCCCAGATGAATGTCTTCATCATATAATATTTTGCCCGAGGCACTTAAGTGAATTAACGTAGCATAATTCCTGAGCAAAGTGCTTGCTTAGGGCAATCAAAGGATTAGAAATATGCATTTTTCAAATGATATTTTAGGCAACACTTACTGAGAATAAAATATGAATATGTCTCTGAACTAAACAGAACCCTGGTAAACAAGTCACGTTGTTGCCTACAACCAAGAAGTGATTTCTGTGTGGTTTCATATTCTATTGCTAAACCTGTTCAATGAATCAGGCTGAACCATTTGCATACTGTACGATTACAAGCAGAAACATTTATTTGGTGGAAGAATGCTTGAAATGAGCTCTGTGTTTGATATAAGCTCACTTATACGTTTGAAACATTAGATGAATAATTTTACACTGACATTATTTTCAGTGTTGCATATTTCCCACCATTTTAATTACCATGCAAAAAATAAACAAATATAACAAAAAAATTCTCAGTACTCTCACACAATTACATAAATAAAAAATAATAATCTCATTCTCAGTGTAATATATTTGTATAGTACTTATAAATCACTGTATTTTTTGTTGTACTGCCTTAAATGTAATGCTTTTTTTCAGTCTTTATTAGCATAAATTAGTGTTTAGAATTTACTAATTAAAAAGAGTAAAATTATTGTCTCATAACAATAACAAAGTCTACTGATAGTATGTTTAAATATCCATATGTTTACATAAGTTTAAATATCCATATGTATTATACAAATGACAATTTGGTGTAAAATGTTCAATACAGATGAGAATTTGGGGTAAAATGTCCAATGTTTCATAATGAATGAATGACTAAACAACTAATCAATTAACAAACATTATTGATTTTGGGGTGAAATTTGACCTGGGCATATTTTCATTAGTTTCACCCAGTAATGCCTCCTACTGTGTTCAAAACTCAAATAAAAAAGAATCAACAGCTGTTTCTGCAAGGAGTGAAAAAAAAATAATCCTTGCTAAATGCTGCGTTCATCTTGCATTATGCAGTATTATCGGAGTCAACCCTACCTGAGTGCAAATGACCTGTACACAAGAGATGCAAGAAATGGAACAGTGCTCTTGCATGAGTATGAATATGATCCAGGCGCGTAATAGGATATAATGCAAACCATACTACTTAAACCACTCAACCGATTCCCACCGACAAAACTCAATAAACATTGTTTACACAGCAGAGGTGGATCTGTGCACATCTTTAACTACTGTGCTGCTTTCTCTGCGCTTGGTGTCAGAAAATAACTCAAGAGAGCGCGTATAAGAGTTG